TCTATTCCGTGCGGCCGGCCTGGCGTAGTTTGATTATGTTTTAGTGGGGGGTTTTGTATGGGTGTGTTTTTAGAACAGGCCCGTTATTTAATTTGATTTTAGAACTGCCTATATTTATCATGGTTTTTATTATCGCCTGTTCACCGCCCTGAGTCCCGTAAGGGAGATAGGGCGGTATATAAATTCAATAAATAAATAATAAATAAATAAATAAGGACTACAGTACTCATCACATTGTATAGCAACAGAAAGGCGCAAACTAGAAAAACTAATGTCGTTATCTTCAACCTACTCACCGAAATATAGGAGTATGGCCAGGCTTTGGTTTATTCCAGGTAAAGTGTGACGGGACAGAAAGAAACTGGTCACCAGACAAATCTTTTTTTAACATATGCTGGGATATGGAGCTCTCGTCTATTGCAGTTTCGAGGGACGGAGATAGGTTGCCCGGGTCTTCAGAACAAAGTTCCGCTTTCCCAGATATAATTGCGGTTTGATCCTCGGAGGTCTTCCTTGTTTTAAGAGGGATGTCGGTATCTCCGCAGCACTGGAAAGCTGAAAGGCCAGGGCCGAGGCCATGGAGAGAGGAATTCAACCACGTATCTTCCGTAACACTCCCCCGAGGAGAATGTCCTGGTGATGGGACGGGGGAATGATGAGGAGAAAGGGAACCGATATAACAGATTTCAGCACTCGAATGCCGGCGCTTCCCGCACGGCGATGTAGGCCTTGAGGATGGCCTTGAGGTCGGCCTCGGGCTGAGCCAATTCTCGTCTGTGATACTAGTCCTGGGAGAGTGACAAGGAGATTGTCTTGGCGACAAGGCATGCCCAAATCCGTAGGATTGTTGCCAAGGATCATCAACTGGACAGCCTCTTGGAGAACCTCCAGGAGATGCCAAAGGTGACCCAAGGGTAAACCGAGCAGCGGCTTCGTTCAGTTCCGATTCCACGTCATCGTAAATATGGGAGACTGACTCACAAGAGGAAGCGTCTGAGAACCAGCTCCGAGAGGAAATGCTGCTGGCCGGACTTGGGCTAAGGGATGACTCTCTGTAAGATGGCTCAAGAGGAAGATACAAGTGGTCCCTTGAAGGCCTTTCCATGTATTCATTCTGAGGGCCATTTGTGTGCAATTCACCTTCGCTGGCTTCTATTCCATGATGACAGTTTGGAGAGATAGATGTGATCTGAATACTAGGACATTCAAAAGGCTTAGGCCCACCTAGCTGACTGTACTTAGATTCCGGTATTTCACATGTCCCTTCGTAGCTTTTGTGACCCTGCAGTTTAGCAGGTGAGGACAAAGGAGAAGGGTGTGCTTGAAATCCATGACACGGGATACAAATGGGATGATTTACCGAGGATGAGTGGTCGACACTGAAAATGCATAAAGATGCACAGTCATCAGGTTCAAGATCTGACAAAAGAGGAAGAAAACAGAGGGAGATTAAAATACTGTGTTAGAAGAAACTTGCTTTTTTTTAAAGACATTTGATCGTCTCCTTTTTTGCATTGTAAGGCAACGTAAGTATGGATTCAAAACATTTGCACCCTATTTATCTATAAAATGTCTGGAATTTGCAATGATGTTCAAAACATTAAAGTAGGAATAGTCAACCTTGGCTCTTTTATGACTCGTGGACTTCAATTCCCAGAATTCCTGAGCCAGCTTAGCTGGCTCAGGAATTCTGGGAGTTGAAGTCCACGAGTCATAAAAGAGCCAAGGTTGACTACCCCTGCATTAAAGTAACAATATATAAAAAAATTGAGATATAGCACAGAGGCTAAAAATCCAGGAACGAGCACCGTAATATCACTAAAAAAAGCCGGTCGGTACTATGGCTGTGAGCTCACTTGGCATGAAGACTAAACTGAACAATGGCCTGGGTCAAGTTGGGGTAAATGAGCCCACCCATAAAGTTGCTGTCTCTACAATTCAACATCCTTCGCAAAGGCCATCCCTGAAATCTAACTACTAGTACAGTAACTAGTAATTACAGGTTGTCTTCAATTTACAGTCACAACTGAGGACGGAACTGCTGTTGCTAAGCCCTACTGTTGTTAAGTGAGTCACACCCGAGTTTGCAACCTTTTTTTTTGCCATACTTGTTAAGTGAACCACGATAGTTGTGAACCCTGCGATTCTTAAATGAATCTGGCTTCCCCCACTGACTTCGTGTCAACGCTGCTAACATTGGGATGTTCTTGCTTTGACAACATATGGAGATGCAGCCTTTTTCTTTCTTATGCTTTACTCTTAGAATTAGATGATACTGGGGGAGGAGGAGGAGGAGGAGGAGGAGGAGGAGGAGGAATGTGATGGGAGTTAGTTAGACATAACAATATTGTAATAGTGTGTGAACTCAGGGCTTTTGAAAGAAGAGATGATAAGAAATGGCGGGTTGGCGTAAAGGAGGGAAAGCCTGCATTTCAAACTAACTGGAGAATGTGATTTATGACTGTTAATGGGAGGAGGGAATTGTGCTTTGATACTATGTGCTCAGGGGAGGGGAATCCAGATTTTGGCTTCCCTTATGTATGTGCCGCTGCTATGCTGCTCGAATAAAGATTCTTTAAGGTAAATAATGCCTCAAACTTCTTTGAAGAGTTTCATCTGTCGGAACCATGACATTTTGCTTGTCAAAAGCAGCTGGGAAGGTTGCAAAGAGTGTTCACGTGACTCCAGGATACTACAATCATCATAAATATATGCCAGTTGCCGAGAGCCCAAATTCTGATCACATGACGGTGGGGATGCTTTGAAGGTTTATAATCCTAAATCTTTGTGATTTGAACTGCATAATAAGTTGATATTTAAAACCTTTCCACTGAATTCAATATTTGAGGGGAAAGCAAAGGACATAAAAGGACATAGGCAATGGCTTCAGACCATGATTCACAGGCCACCCTTATGTTCACAGATAGTCAAGTTTTTTTGTTTTATTCTTAGCTTATCACCACTTATCTGGCTGCAGCTGGTGAGTCTCACATTTTTAAGAAAAGCTGAAGATAATCCTATAAGGACGATATAACTGGATAACTTGCATACAGGTTTTGATAAAGTGGCCAAGTTCTATATGCAGTCACCACCACAGTAGCCATTGGCCAAAACATATCTAAAAGGCACCATGGAATGGAAATATTGCATTAGGCTATACACACAACATATTCCTTAGAATGAATGTGTTATTTCAGTTACAAAGATGCTAACAAAATAGATATTTTTTGTTTTCTATAAGCTCACTTGAAGAGGTTACTGGAGAAGTGAAAAGCTCCTGTTTATTCATGACATGCTTTGCACAGTGACAGGCAGGAAGGTTGTTGAATAAAGTAACTAAATCTTTAGCATCTGCTCAGAAATTTAGACATAAAGCTCTTCTCATCTGAAGCCCGGTGCTCTTCTCCAGCAAACTGATTTTCAAAAGGATCCAGAAACGTTCTCAATTTTTCACAACAAATTTCTATAAAGCCATGGTTATCTTGAATCATCTTGTCTACAGTAGCAAACTATCATGTGACAGGGTTTGATAAACATCAAACCGCTGTTCTTGCAGACTATGCCACTTTTCGTGTATTAAGTCCTTTATCAAGATCAATTCACGTATTTGGGCCTATCAGGAACCTCAGTATCAAACATGCCAGCTGTCTTTCTCTGTTGCTTTAGTTTCTGCTCACCCTTCTTTTTGCAACCATTTGTTTCTCTGTTTTTTTTTCTTCAGAAAATAGAATTGGGATAAGCAGTGAAATATCCAACTATTGGAATGGTACCAATTATTCATTGGTATAAACAATAAAAACTGCCAAACAATCCTGAAAGGAGGATTTCTTTCTTAATAAAATGATAGATTTGAGACCACACAATCCTTTTTATAAATACTAACAAAAGCTGAAACTGTCAAAAGAATTTAACATGCCTAATAGACAACTTTTCCACACGGGCAATGATGCAAGTACATCCAAGATGAGAAAAATGTAGGAGGAAGTAAAGAAGTCACCAAAATAATAGTATTCTATTGCAGAACTCAACCTTCTAAGCAAGATTTCAGTACTCTGGGTAAAAATGCCTAACACAGTAAATTTCTGCACAGCATTTCTGCTAAAACCCTTTTTGCAATAGTTATTCTGAAGAAAGCAGAGGGAAATAAAATTAATTCTCGCCCAGAAGTCTAACAGAAGACCTTCGTGGATTGTTCGTAGATATATATCAAGAAATGGCTTGTCGTGATGGCACTTTGTGAATAAAATCATGAGGAAGACCTATCTGTCAGAATCAACGTTATGTGGCTTTGAACAAAAATGTATGTCTTTAATTTCTTATCCTCTTGAATCTACAAAAAGCTGGGTATAATTTTTAAAAAAGTGTATTCGGGCTACAATAATGTTAAATTAAAAGGTGCTATAAAAATGGATCCAGCAGGATCTCCCGCTCTCTTCTGCCAGTGTTCTCAAATATCCTGATCAATTCTTAATGGTTTAAGAGCAATTGGCTTTGACATGGGCATCCAGCAACTATCCTTCCTTAGTGCCAGCTAGCGTAACATTTAGAGCAAAGGGTCATTTATTCAAGAAATATACATTGGCTGGGGCTACTTTAAAGAAAGTCTCACCAGTAAGCTGAGGGGAGGCACTTAAACATCTGGATTCAGAGACCACTGAAAACAACGGTCCCCAACTGCTTATCATCCTGCATGATTCTAGATCTCGTTAATTGAGAGAATTGCCTTCTTGCACATTCACCTACCCATCCGAAGAGGTCAAACGGCATCAACTACTTCCAGATCCCATTCCATAATTTGGGACTGGGCATTTTCACTCACTGTCCTCAGGTTTTGGAATTCCCTGTTTTTGGAGACCTGCCTGGCTCTTTCTCGACTGAGCTTCAGTAGGACAGTCAGGATCTGATTGTTCCAATCAAGTACAGGAAGAGAATAGATTGTGACTGAAGGCTGGAGTGTTAACAGGCGCATGACTTTGTATTTCCTGGTTTATAACTTTTAATACTGGCAATTTTTGTTTATATCTGGGGGTGGGGAGGGTAGGTATTCATTATTCTATACAGCTATTCTTTTGTATAATGATTTTGATGGTTAGCTACCCACCACCTGAGGTAATAGATGACATACAAATATTGTAAAGTAAATAAATCCATTTTTATTGATTTTTATCCCACCTGTATTATTTTTACAAGGTGGCGAATATATCCAACAGACTTTTCTCTTCCTATTTTCTCCACAAAAACAATCCTGTGAGGTGGGTTGAAGTAAGAGAGTGACTGATCCAAAGCCACCCAGCTGGCTTTCATAGCTAAGGCAGGACTTGAACTCATGGTCTTCTGCTTTCTAGCCTGGTGCCTTAACCACTAGAACAAACTTGCTCTTTTAACTTAATCAATTTTTAACAGCAACACCTTATTCTGCTGATACAGGAGAAAGCCATTCAGTCTTTGGAGACAATCATTCAAACCAGGGAAGTTTTAAGTTTCTTGTATTGACTTGGCTGAAAATATCTACTCTCCATTTAATAAACAACACTGTTTTTATCAATAAAACATTAAAACAAAAGAGTTTAAATTCATCAATAATCTCCATCCTGTTCACAATCATGCCAAAAGGTATCACGTTTCATAAATGTCCAGAAAATATTTAAAATGTGGCACTTGGGAATATGAGTTTCAACAGTAAAAGGCTCCACCTAGTTCCTGCCTAAATTAGTATCAACAGAATTATGTTCTTAAAATTACAAATAATTCAGATTTCACTGTATGGCACAGAGACTAAGAAGAAATAATAAAAGCTAATATTCATTCAGTGACACATCTGCTCTGCACAGTAATAGCTTTTAAAAAAATGATAATGGCAGCACAGCTCCATCTAGAACCAAATATGATCCCTACAAAGAAGAAAGTAATTTAGATTAAATACAGTAGAAGCTATTTTCTTCTCCTCTCAGCTCAAATTATCTAAGGTGGAGCAACAGAGTGAATAACGGAATCCATTTACATGGCTCATACTCCATTCTAAATGAGAGTATGATGCTTCAGTTTCAGATAGCACAGTTTGTCAAGCTTAATTTAATATGCTATTTCAGGTACATATAAAAATACAAACTGTTTTGACAGCAATTGTTGCAAATTTGTTTTGCTTTAACTAAGCACGAGAAATCTTCTGTGCTTTCAGAACTCCAAGAAGCTTTATATAACAAAACCTAAAACGAATCAATGTACTTTCGTTAGTTCTGTTAAATTGTCATTTAGATATACATGCAAAGGACTTATGGATTTTTTTAAAAAAATCAAGCAGATAATAATAGATCTGCAAACAAGATTAGTGCTGGAACCGATTCTGCTTTAAGTCAAATAGCTGCACTAAGAAAACCAGTACAGATGCAACTACAATAAATTACAGCTTGAATTTTGCAAAACGTCTTAATAGATAAACCATTTTGAATATATATATATATTAGCATCAGCAGCTCTGGTGGTAATGGGGCACTTGCTACACATCATATCTCTGAAATTTCTACTGATGGGACTAGGAGAGCTGCCTGATTTTAGCAGCAATATAAATTTCACATCCAATATAATTACATTAAGAACATATATTTAACAAGAACAAAGTAACACGTAAGGCTTGGTAGCCCAGTGAGTAGTTATCAGTTTAGACACAGTGACTAGATTGCCTTTCTATGGGCTTATAATGTTACTATATGCAATTTATTCATGCCTTTTTATTTGCAGGATGGAATCTAAAATCCTGGGTACAGCATCCAGCAATCCTTCCTAAGTATGCCTCTAATTCAATTGTCTGTTCATATGAATTTAATTCTGTGTCCTCTGGACAGCCAGTCTGGGCTGGAAATAGAATTTCCAAATTCTGGAAATTTTCTGATTGTTATTTTGAAACCTATGAGTACCAAAACAGTTCAGTTTTCAGTAATGACTTCCATCTAGATACATCTTAACTTTGCTTATTCCCACAAGTTCCTTTCCAACACACACTTCCTGTCCACATATTCAGCAGGTGCACTCTAGAATACTGAAAAAAAAAATATTAAAAATAAAATTAAGCTAACGAGGCAAAATCTGATGAGAAAAACATTTGCGACATGAGTAAAATTGAACAGCAAGAGGGGCTGTAACCTCTCAAACTCTTTGAAAATGCTAGGGGATATTACAAAATAGCTCAAGCATGAAGATCATGATGGGGCAATCACATCACTAACCATAGTTATGTGTCAGGCTATTTTCAGCAGACGCCTGCAATAATTGGTGGAAATATATAAATGCAGGAATTAAGGACTGATTTCAACATCATCCCTTGAAGGGGGACATTATGTCAAGAGTAACTGCCAAGGAAAGAATGTTGACCATATGTACTAAATTAGAAATAAATGTACATTGGCCAAGCAAGAAACTACAAAGTTATGCAGCAAGATGTAAAACACGTCAGACCTACATAACAAACAAGTAAACCATTCAGAAAAGTATTCTAACAAATGCTACTAATTCAGGCAAGAAGTACTTAAAGGTCTTGAGAAATGTATATAAATGAAATATATTTTATCTTAATTTATACAGAACTAAAACACTCAGCCTGACTGGCAATAAAAACCCAGATACTATTATTGCTATTTCATTCAAGCATGGCTGAATTGACATTCTCAAACTGCAGCTTTTGACTTTGCTCAGAACCCTAGTGAAACATCGATCAATTTTTTTTAATCAGAAAGTACTTTCTTTCCCAAAAGCGTCTTACATTTTTGGTTTTCCATCTTTAATAAAGTCTTTTGCCTTGATGTTTGCTTTTTGCAGGCGTCCAGGGAATGTTTGTTGTATTTTAAGGGCACAATGGTTATTTAAATCACAAGATCTCAAACCCTATTAAAGGCACCGTTTCATTCTTTCGAAACACATCTGTTTCTAAGGATCTGTTCAAGAGTTTTTTTTCAAGTATTCGATGTTCAAGAAAAGCACAAACATTTAAATCAAAGTCTCTGCAACAAAGGTATACATTACTATAATCTTTTTTCATTCTGAACTATTTTTTAATCCTAGAAAAAAGTTTCAAGATTACTATGGTTAGCAGCAAGAATATTACTTATAGTCTAATACTACAGTGATTAATATAGGGACTTGTCAAAAAATTGCTTCTAGAACACAAGGCAGTTTTTATATGTTACAGTAAGCCATTCTCTAAAAATAAATCTGCCTCAGGAGCCTGTAAATCTGCAGGGAGGTCTCCAGCTAAATAATGTCAATCCCAACTCTTATATACACTTGTGTTTATTTCCTTTAGTACAAGGTAGGTCTTGACTATAATTAACAGGCATTCGGTGCTACTGAAATTACGTTGTGAATGTTTTTTAAGCATTTTAAAGTTTCTGCGTCCTTGATAGGCCACTTCCCATTTATTGGGATGGGCAGAGGGAACAGATGTAATACCAAATTCTTTGGACAGCTGATTCAATATGCAGACATCTATTCCCTGCTCTTCAAGGCCCTTGTACACTTCTATACTTCAACAGCAAGGCAATAAATGACCACACAGTTGTACATTTCCACAAGGCCCAGACGAGGCATTTAGCTTTGGACAGTATCTCCAGGCTTTTGTTGTTTGTTTTTTCCTTAGTAACACAAATCTTTGATTTTATATATATAGGTTTTTAATCGCTTATTTCTGTATGCCATCATAAGACTTGAAAAGGAGTAATGGCCATGAGCAAGCAGCCCTCTCCTGCTTTCTGTTAAGTCCAGTCTTTGCTTGTTTAGAGCTGCCAAGACCACACACACACACACATACACACACACAAATTACATCAGGAACCCACGTCCATTATCTACAATAAAATGCTTCCAAAAACCAGACCTATCCCTACCAAGTTAAGTTTCCAGCCATTCACAACATTCATCAACCGTATTCTAAAGCCAACAGGCATCTGGTTTTGAGGTTTCTAATGAAAATATTGCAGTACAACTTGATACAACTTCACACAAGCACCAACTGCTCAGAGAAAAGCCAGCTGCAGGATTTCCAATTAAAATCTTGCCTGATAGCCTAGGTAAATCATTTGAGATCTTGCTACCACTTCCTTACTCTTGCCAAGAAAACTGTCTGGTGTTCATGAAGTCACCAGGTGCCAAGCCTGACTTAAAGAAACTAATTTTTTTTTTCTATTACTAAAGCCTTAGTGATGTATTATTACCAGGTTTTGCATACATGAAGGGTAGAGACAACCTGCAACTAAAAAGAATCAGAGGTTATCCTAGTCAATATCCAATCCATTCTAGCCTTTTTGAAGTTCGGGTTGCTGGACCAAATGCCTTTAAATAAGCTAAAAACCTCCAACCAATACTAAGGAGATTTGCTTTGATGCTAAATTCAATCCTTGACAATTAAGAGGATCCCTGATGATAAGACTAGGAAAAGACGTGAGCCATCCTTTCCTAGCTACTGTATCTGTAGCAATACAAAGTAAGAGGAATCAATATCCTGGTTTAGTTTAAGGTAATTTACTAGACTCAGTAGAACAATAATATCTTTATTGTTAGGGAGAGTCCAAATCCTCTCTTATGAAGCCCACTGAACTCCAGAAAGGGTACATCTTCTGTCCCTAAACATTCTACATCATTCTAAATCGCAGGAAATATCTCTCTAGGTGTCAATAAGAGCCCATACAGTCACAATGTAGCAGATCATCAAATCAAAACATTTGAATATGCATTCATCTTTTTTGACTGAGTCCCAAACCATCCAGAAGTCCATCAGGTTCTAAATTCACGTCAGAAATAACCCTCACTCCCTTTTTTTACAAAATGCTTTTTATACATTAACCATTTCTGAAAGAGTCAGAAAGTCCATCGTATTCTAAATGCATTTTAGAAAAAAAGCCCCCTTCCCTTTTAGTAATAAGAAATGTATTTGCTTTTATATAGAGAGAGATTAACCCTTTCCGATCCAAGTCCCAAACGCTTCTTCACCTGCCTTGGTTTTGAGGTGCTTCTGATGAAAACACTGCAGTACAATTAGATACAACTTCACATCCCAGCCCCAACCACTCAGAGGAAAGCCAGCTGCAGCATCTCTGATTAAAAATCTCGCTCGATAGCCCCTTAGGCAAATCACTTGAGATCTAGCACTGGTGAAGTTACCTAGGTAGGGTCTTAATCAAGGACAGAAGCAACCTAGAACTCAGGAGAAACTTCCTGACAGTTAGAACAGTTAACCAGAGGAACAACCTGCTTCCAGAAGCGGTGAATGCTCCAACACTGGAAGTTTTTAAGAAGAGACTGGACAGCCATTTGTCTGAAATGGTATAGGGTTTCCTGCCTGAGCAAGGGGTTGGACTAGATGAGCTCCAAGGTCCCTTCCAACTTTATTATTACTAGCACTATTATTATTATTATTATTATTATTATTATTATTATTATTATTATTATTATTATTCATCACACAGTCAGCCAGATGTTCAGACTGGATTTGGCATTTTTGTCTACCTATGGAGTCCTTATCAAGGACCTGGGATAGGCAGATGTGGATGTTTGATGGTATTACAGATATCGTCGCAGGATGGAAGCAGTTCCTAGTAAGGCCGCCTGTTGCAATTGACTAATGGCGAATCTGTCAATGCCGATGATGGTGTCCAAGTGGTGCTCCAGCTGTTTTGGGATTGCACCCAAGGCGCCTATGACTATTGGTACTACCCTTGCTTGCCTTTGCCAAAGTCTTTCTATTTCTATTTGTAGGTCTTTGTATGTTGTGATCTTCTCCAGTTCATTCTCGTCTGTTCTGCTGTCTCCAGGCTATTATTATTATTATTAATTACTATTATTACTATTACTATTACTATTACTATTACTATTATTATTAATTATTATTATTATTATTACGAAATGTCTGCAAGAAAACAAGCCAGCTCAGAGAGCACCAAGGAGATTCTCACACACACACACCCCCATTTCAACCCTGAGCCACAACTATTCTCTCCTCC